TTTCATGAAAAATATGAAAAGTTAGACTATATTAGTATTAATTAAAAATTCCATCAGCGTATCAGAAATGAAAAACAAAAAATATTGCTAAAAGTATCAATAGCAATTAACGTAATAATAATATTTACAGTATTTTTCACGATAAAAAGAAGCATTCACAAATTACCGCAATTCATTTAAGATAAATTACTTAATTTACTCGAGAAAAAAAAGAAATATCTATCAATTACCCTGATTCGATATAATAGTATCAATAATAATTTTGCAACAAGAAGAAGTATCAATAAATTATTCTTATCTTTTCGCACTGTAAGAGAAATTTAACGTTACGTTTCTGTTTTTGCGTCTACGTGCAGTATTAACTGATGCGAGACCAGTTAAATGTAGCTTGCTTTCATAACAATTGAAATTTCTATGAATACCTCGAAGCGATATTTGAATAACAAATATAAAAAGCACAGATGCTCACCAATAAAACGCGACCTTATCGCCGTTCCCACTTTTCACGTTTTTGTCTAGAAGGTTAAAACTAATGTTGGTAGAAGCACCCTCCATCCATTTTATGAAAATATCCCCTTTACTCAGGTCGAAGTTGTACGAGAAGAACTTGTCCTCGAGCGCCGGCGTTTCCCAATAGAATTGTTTCGCAATCTCGCCCCAGAATTCGCCTGGATTTTTCACGGACCTGAAAGAAAAAGACAAAAGGCCACGCAGCATTTTAGAAAGAATTTCATTTCAACGCAATTCATTGTGGGCAAGTATAATACGCGGCAATGATCGATCGATTCCGTTATATTTTTCATGGTTAGGTTCTTAACCTCCAAAACAATACGAGGAAATCGATATCGATCGCAGTAATTCGTATAAATCGTATTTTTGTAATTAAGGGATTATCGATACAACTGCGATAAATACATCTTTAGAAATTTACACGGAAACATGCAATATATGCGTAATAACAAAAATAGATTTTCTTTCGAAATGATAAAGAAAGAAAGAGAGATAAAATTTGGAATTTTATAATGTTCGATAAAATAGCAAAGATAAAGTTAACGAAAAGAAGGTAAAAGAATAAAAATTCACGTGAAAATATTGAATTAGAGAAAAATTGTATGTTAAATTTTTTTATAGTTTTATCTGCTTCGACCACTCTGTCCTTTCTGTGGTAATCATAGTGAGTGGATCGATGGCTCGAGGATCATGTATAGTTCAATTGAAATGTATAACGAAAACCGTATTTTAGCTGAATTTATCTGTGTATTTATTCTGAAATATAAAAGTGAAATCTTGCTTATGCTAATTTATAGAGTGCGTTAATAATCAGTGAGTGATTGATTGATATTGTTGTGATAACGATGCTCTACAAAGAACGATTCATTCAGATTGAAACAGACGGGAGACTGGTAACATAAAGGAAAGTGTTCGTGATAAGGAAAAAACATGATTTTGATGAATTGGAATTTCCTGCAAATTCATTAAGATTAATAAATTATGGACAATTAAACAATTGAACATCCGCATTTATTGTGTATTTACAAGTGTGAAGAATATCTTCTGAAATTTTAGATATTAGACATTTCTCCAAGCCATAAATTAGGCTCTCAAGATAAACGGAAATTGTTTCTTGTAACAGACCGCTAGATGGATCGATATTATTGTTCTATTTCCATAGTGCACATTTATGACATTGCTACGTAAAGAAACAGGATTGTCCAATAATTGCATCAAATTATACTTAAAGCTTATGTAAATCACGATTTGTGTTATAAAGTGTGCTTATTTTTTTTTATTGCATACATTATTGATAGTTCAAAGTGTTTTTAAGAACTATTATTCAAGCATTAAATATCTGGAATATTCCATACAGTTTAAATAAATAAAAACATGACATTGATTATTTATGCAACTAAAAGTTTTGTTTTATAGGTGTCTCTATGACTCGGAAAAAATCATCTAAAAAGTTCGATTTAATTGCTCGAAATAATTAACTCGTCGAAACATTAATCTAGTTTCTGAAAGATGTCAGCACATATCATGTCCCAGAATCAATTTTCATTAAATAACAGCCTCCATCACCCACACAAGGAATGCACTTAATAAACACGGTTGACACTTTACCTATGATTAATGTCACGTTCCTATCTATTGACGTTCACCCTCTCTCATTGTCCCCTACTAATTTCCCTAGCACTGCTAGATTTAATTACATACTTCATAAAACAAATTTCCTATCATCTATGAGTCATATAAAGTACCAGTCTCTGTCCAAATCAAGTATCAACGAATACAGTCAAAGTGAAACGATGAAATAAATTGTTCGAAGAAAAAAATGGTCTATTCGATTAGAATCACGAATTCATCAAAGAGATCATTTTCAGAAACGACATTTTCATTCATGAAATAACAGTAACGCAGATTTTAGGGTTTTTTAATTCAACCATCTTTTGGACAAAATTATTGATTCGCGACATTCGCAACTTTCGAACTATACGTAACATTCTACATGAAGTGTCATTCGAATTTCAAATCGGACATCAATTTGTATCAACAGAATGTATAACGCAAACAGTTAAAGAACGTGAAAAAGCTGACAGAAAGGGGATGAAAAATTTCATCTGCGAAACGTCGAAGATCGCATCGTCGTATCTGTCATCCCTCTTGTACCGACTAAGCTCTGTGGAACATTCCCTGTCTCGAATAGAAAACCACTCACTTCTCGTGCATCTTTCTGTACTGCTCCATGTTGTTGCAGTACGCGTTCTTCGCGATCTCCGGACTGGGGTAGTATAATTTATCCGCCATCTTCGTAGTTTCGGTGTCTCAAGTTTTGCTTCAACCCTTCGTGATTCCGCAATTCCTTGGACTAGACTAGAGTGGTCAATCGATAAAGAGCGGGCTCGATGTATGATCACGACACTTAGACGCGTAATATAGAATTCGTTTGTCGAGGTAATTCGAAATAGAATGGTTACCGGGGGTTAAAGGACGGATATCACGACAAAATTTAGGGTGAACGGAGGAGGCACGATGATTGTTCGGAGACGTGCACCTCCGCTCGAATTTTCGTTACGGCTCGGTTGATAAACCGCGACTGAGTAGCGATCCGGCAAGACCACCGACCAATGTTGGTGTCGTTAGTGTCGAGAGGGAAGGCGCCTGTCAGGGACGTATTGCGAGAAAGAGAAACGGTGGTCATACTTCAGTGCTTGAATTAAAATTAATAAATCGTGTTAATTCGTGTTAACGGAATAAATCCAAGGAAAATCTTTTGTTCGTAGCGATGTTTAATCTGCATTGCTTAAAATTGCTATCTGTATCTGTGAGATTGATTTGATCACATAATAAGATACGTATTACCTCAATTTGAAAAGTTTCAGTATGTTTTGTGTAATGTATGTCTTGGAAAATATTACTAGATTGAACATACAAGATATATTTGTATCAAATATGTAGTTATTTTTTGAATACACTTTCTTAATTGATTTCAGCAATATGGTCACGTGTTGCGCAACGTAAATGCGCATGAGTCAAACGATCGCCAACTTATCGACGCAGGTGATCGAACGTAACCTTGTTAATGCATTTATTAAGTTAATTACACGGTATTGGTGGAATAATGGAACATTAGTACGGAAATGAAACGGAATACAAATAATAATTTGTTTTAATCAATTTTGTAAGGAGTTTTTGGGAACAACTATTTCGTCCTAATGAATGCGATCAATGATTTTATCACGCGGTAATTTCACAATTACGTACAAGGTCCGTGAAGTATCGTGAAGCTACGAAAAGATAGTCTAGGAAATAAGATTAGGGAGATTAATGACTTAGTGCGATAAACTACAAACAAGGTTAGATTTGATCTACTATACCATATGAACCACGGCATTTTGATTTGAATGCATCCATATTACTAATCACGTGACCACGTATAGGCAATGGAACAGATACAGTGAGGATGTACATAAATTAAAGAATTAGGCTGCGAAACTAATCGATACAGCCACACTCAAGGCCGTATGTGATTTGTGAATTGCACCTCTTTATGGATTAAAGTGTAGACAAATTTTTTAAATGCACTGCGAAACCATTTCCCAGTTGACATCGAACGGTTCTGAACGAGGTTCCCACATCTTATCTCCCTCATACTGCTGTTTCGATAGTCCGATTACACGAAATTTGACGCTGGATCGATTTTACGACCTCCCTATGTCGATTCTACTAGCTGTACTTCGTTTACAAGGAATAAATATGTGTATAAGATTTCTCTCAATTTTGAAAAACATTCTTTAATGAGGTTACGTACTTTTTCAAAAAAATTATTATTCTCTTCTATTTTGTCACCAAAAATAATTCAATTACGCAATACTGAACCTGTTGGTCTACATATATTTCCGAAATTAGGGTTTATAACAAATATTTTTTATACAAATTTCTACTGCTTTATATACAATTTTCTATACAGTTTCAAACTTAACTATTCATCAATTACTTCACTGGTAATTAATTATACATATACAAAAAAATATTAGGTTATATTAACAAGTCAAATAGTCGGTATTATAATGAACTGCTTGAACAATTAGCATCCTACGTATTTCGCAATTGCTACTTTTGTAGCAATACAATCGGTTGCGAAACAATTAAATCACCGGCTGTCTGATATACATACACCTTTTTGTTTTTAACCTCTTACCGATCTCTTTTACGATTTCTCAGTATCGACAATAAAGCATGCGGATATAAGCTCATTTCGTATTCTTTGCTCGAACAGGTATCTAAAAATTGGAGATAAATTAACTGGGAAACAACGATTTCTAGATTTATACACACCTATAACAGGTACGATGAAAATTTTTATTCGTTCGTCGCGCATATAACGACGGTCGATATCGATCTTGGATCTGACAAGGACTTGACCATTAGTGAATGGTTCGTTGTCAATAGCACAGCAAGGACTCGATTCAAGGATCGATCGCAATCGTAACATAATGTTCTTACATTCTAATCATTTTGTACGTACACGTTTTATAATTAAACGTTTAAATTATAATAACGGAATAATTAAGGTTAAGATAGTGCAAAGTTTATATTTAAATAAAACATATATGTCACAATATAAAAAAGTAATTAATCTACGAGACTATTTACACTCCGCGTGTGATAAACTTCTGAAAAAAATTCAACAAAAAAGTTTGGAAGATTTATTAGATTGTCAGACATGTTTCATCATACACAAATCGAATGACTGCTCTTTTGATAAATACAGTGTGTTTGGTAACAGTTGATAGAAAATTTCAGGGGCGATTGTACTAGTCAAAATAAAACGAAAATCTAAACTAACAAAATTACATTTGAGGCATTGTTTTTTAATTATTAACATTTAAAAATATCCCTGCGTCCGTGAAAAAGTATAACCAATTAACTTATTATATTCATTTATAACCATAAAGTAATGTATATCTAAACGAAAGAAATTAAAATAAACTTTCGCTTTCGTTGTCAAAATAATTCTATCCTTCCAAACCTATTCTAGCCTTTTACAAAAATCGAGACAGATGCGATTGTACATTACTTTATAGATTTAAAGTAATAATTTAATTAGTTTTAGTTTGATATAACCAGTTTAATTTAATTTTTTGCATTTTAGTGTACTTTTAATATAGGTTCAATTTATTTCTCTTTACTTTTTATAGTTTTCATTTGGTACATATGCGTGAGTATATAGCCATGTAAGTAGTGAAGCAAACGATAGTGGCGCAGAAGTCGGTAATGTTGTTCACGACTTCCAATATCACCTTCTTCATCTTTACGACTTGTACAAGATAACTTACCGGCCAAGAGTCATTGACTTTAAGAACCCCTATGTCACAGAAGAGATACAGAATAAACCTGTTATCCAATACATTTTTTTGTCAAAGACATGAGGACTCTAAGGCCCCCTTATTATTTCTGTGTCGCTTCCAACGTTACCGATTCAATATCATTTATAGAATGATCATTAATAGAATATTACTTAAAGAATGAGTGTTTTGTAAAGGAAAATGAATTTGGTGTGTAAGAGAGAAATCAATAGATGCAAAATGCTGCAAAACAATACCTGGGTACTTATATTGAAACCCTTTGTAAAATATATTTTGTACACTTATCTTACAATAAATAATTAATTTTTTGATAAATAATTACATTTCTTTTGCTGTTGAAGTATTTCCCTTGATTACCGTGGTGGCTTGAGGATACCATTTGTAATTCACAAAAAAAGAACATTAATTTTTCAATTATCAGTAAAAATTATAAACAATTTCTAACTAATCTACTGCATGCAATTGTTAATTCAATGCGAAATTAATCAATTAAGTTATTTTATTAAGTTGAATCTGCACATATGATATTAGATAATATAACACATTAATAATATAAACACATTATAACACTAATATGACACATTAAAACTGTAAAGATAAAAAGAAAATACATGATTGATTCCTATACTACGTTAAAATTAATGCTTTCATCATACCTGTAATCTGGTCTGCATTTGGCAATGAATAAGACAAGCAAAACGATAGAAAGAAACAAGGATAGCACTAGGTAAACGAGTTAGACAAGGAAAGGAATAGCGGTAGACAAGGATAGCACTAGAGAAATGAGTTAGACGAGGAAAGGTATATGGAAAGACAAGGACAGAAAATTTTTCAAAGTGACGGTAACGCCATCTCGCGTTTGGTGACATGAACTACGATTTTCTAATATGATAACAGAATATAAACAGAGGTATTAGACAAGGATAGCACTAGTGTGCGACAAGGATAGAGAGAAAACGTTTCCTATTGGTCCGCGGACCGTAATGGCCGCCTCGCAGACGCTAAGTCAAGTCGGCTAGGGAAAAATCATTAATAACTCAATATTTAAGACGCTTTTGTGAACTTTTAGAATTGAAGAATGAAGTATAGACCTTCAGCAACTTTCACATATAGTTTTCAATGCTCTAAACCCTTTCAATAATTAGTTATTAACAATTTTAGTACGGAATGTCGGAAACGATACCGCAAACCTTTACATTTTTTCAATAATTTCATAGCTTTCTATCAATTTTTCATACAACTAACTACATTTATTTGAAAGGGGACTCCTTTGGCTGCATTCTTCAATAATTTTCATTAACATATCATTTGTAGTTTAGAAGTTATTAAATATTATATGAGAGAGTCTCTTATTCATCGCACTCGAGTATAGTCAACTCTTATAAACAATTGCTAATATCTAAAAAAATACACCACACACGCACCTAAAAATTATGGGAGAATGTAAAGGAAGGTCTGTACTACATTCTGCATGCCTCAATGTGCACAATTAATCATGCATATTCGTCAAAATGACGAAAATCCATTACGCTTGAATACGACGATGGTAGTACTCACTCTAATAATGTTTAATAGCTAGCAAATAACGAAGAATATGTTAATAAAAATTCAATCGGAAAGTAGCTAAAGGAATAACCTTTCGAACGCATCTATGAAAGTGTATATATTATTTGTGTAAAGCTCAGAATTAATGAAAAACCAGAAGAGTGTACGGAAAGCCTGCCGACATTCCGCACAAAAATTGTTAATAATTAATTACCGAAACGATTTAGAATAATAAAATGTGTATGGGAAAGTTTCTAAAGATCCACAATTCATTCTTCAATTCTAAAAGTTCACAATATCATCTTAAAAATTGAGTTATTAATGATTTTTCCCTGGCCGACTAGACTTAGCGTCTGCGAGGCGGCCATTACAGCCAGCGGACCAATAGGAAACGTTTTCTCTCTATCCTTCTCGCACACTAGTGCTTTCCTTGTCTAATACCTCTGTTATCATTCTGTGTTCCGCGTAACAAGTCGTTAGTTCGCGCGCCCAAACACGAGATGGCGCTGCTCTGGTTTTAAAAAATTTCTGTCCTTGTCTAACACTATTCTTTTCCTTGTCTTACTCATACATCTATTGCTATCATTGTCTGCCCCTATTCCTTTCCTTGTCTTACTCATTTCTGTATTACTATACATCTCGACGAGTTGAAAGCACGCCTACTGATTGTATATCACCATCTTCTAATAAGAATTACACGAAAATTAATAACATAAATCAATCAAAAAATTCTATATTAATCGCTCAAATTCCCTACTACTCATTGAAAGTTTCTAGTTTTTTTCCAAGCAGTTTAATTATAGAATAATTAATGTTTCCTGTGAAATAACAATTTAGGTGGTTGGTTATAATGATTGAAAGTCTTATTAAGAAACTTTTTCTAAGAATTAGAAAAATTAATATTCCTTTCGTATAAAATACAGGGCTTGAACATCAGGAAAAGTGAAGGAATGTAATTATTTATACTGTAATAAAAAATATGAGAGCATGTTTCACATCTGTCGACTTTATCATCTTCGATTATCACAGAAGGCATAACAAAACCGCTGATATTTTACACGGTCGGTATTTCAGAACGTGAGACATAACCCCCTGTATCTTGATGTGTTGTACACTCGTTGGTGTAAGGTGGTTTGCTTCTTCACAGGGGTATCTTTACATGTAAATAATTAAAAAACAAAGCCTGAAACACATTTTTGTTATTCTTCATTTACGTTCTATTTTGAATCATACAATCACCCTTTACATTTTCTAACAACTGTTGCCGAACATCCTTATATAAAAATACTAATACGAAAATATCGCATGATATACGAAAATCGTTCGACATCTCAGTACTTACACTAATTAGTATTATAAAATTCTCTCTAATATCCCTCGTTGGACGAATAATCTATGCACTTAGCGTTAGAAATTAACCTGCTTATCCTAATCGTTTCCTTTTTTTCAGCAATAAACGATAGTTCTGTTGACTTAACAATTATGTGAGAAAAAAAATGTATTAATGCAAAATATACATATTTCTCTATACATAAAATTATTAACAGTTATATTTATACATTTATAGTTACACCCATACATTCAACATTTCAATTTTATTGTAATTATTTATTGACCAATTTTATGACAAATTACACGAATGATTGAAAAATTAGAAAATATCATAATTGAATACAATCGTTAAATATAAAATGCTGATGGCAAACAGTATGAATAGCCTTCGCTCTTATGGCAAAATCTCCTAACAAAAATCACTGTAGCATAATTATTTACATTTCTTAAATTTTAATTAAATCTGAACAATCGCTACTCATAAAAATACGTTACAACTAATATATATACATATAAATCAAGTTGTGTTCATTAGATAGGACAGCAAAGTGTGTTACAGAAAAATTTCCACTAGCTTTCAACTGTTGAATTAGTATTAATTCCACGTTACCTTAATCGCGTCTATTCGATAATGCCACCATATGGCCAAGGAATAGAAGGACGACGTTAAATAGTCTTCATTGTCCCATTTTATACGCTTGCAGTGTGTAAAACAATACCAGAGCCGACAACAACTTCGTTGTTTCTTATTTTCCTTTTCTTCCACTCTTTTATTACTGCGGCAATTAATAGACGCGAATTACCTTATCTGATTTCATCAACTTGTCGAGCAACGTTCCGTAGGTCTTCAATCATGGGTGGTTGCACTTGCAGATTTAACAGAAATTCCATTGACGACGATAAAGAGGAACAATTATCTTTCACATCTTTTTCTGCAAGGAAGAATACTGACCTGCGAAAAAATGTGAATAACCATTTAGAAAACGTTGCACTTAAAATTACGATTAACAAAACTGTAAGAAAAAGCAGAAAATATTTAGGAAATAAAGATAATGAAAAATACTTCTAATTTAATTACTCTATTCTCGAAATATTTCAATTTAACCGCATTCTACTTTCGAACCGCTTAACAATTAAGACCACGAATAGGAAAATTATGAAACGAAGTTACAGGACACGATATTTTCCTACTCGTTCGATAAATATTGAAATTAAAGCACGCCCATGCTACGGAGACACGAGATTAAATTAAATGAAATCTGATTTTAACAAAAAATTGCATAAACAGTTTCACGTCATTCCTTGCACCAATCACGGTGTATTTTCTTAAAGAGGATGTCGACAACCTCGGTTTATCGATATTTTCAAACGGTATCCTCGAGGTCTTCGGCCATCCGGAGGCCTCAGAATGCTCGCAACCTCGCGAGAATCCCCATAACCCAAGCTGCATGCAAATGCGTCGCCCGTATTTTTTTCTTTACACTTATCTCACGTACAGGATATTTTTACCTCCTGTGACTGCTCCGTCAGGTATATAAAGTCACAGGGAGATCCAGCACGGACCCACACACCAGCGTTGCATCTCGAAGCCGTCGCGAGTCGATCGTTAGCGGAAAAGAAACCGGCATCGCTCGGTTTCCGTTTCAAACTCGTCGCGAGAAATCGAAACTTTCCCCAGTGGAAAATTCTCCGCGTCTAAGAAACGGTGGGGTTAAATTTCTGTTCTTGCAAAATTACTAAATCCATCGATATTTCCCGGTTTATCGAATGAAATTTCGCGATCGTTTAATTTTCGGTTAAATCTCGGTTTGTAAAATAAAATTCTATCGAACCCTTACTACACCCTGGTGTATCTAAGAGTAAATAAAAAATCGTACATTGTTAAAGTGAGAACTGAGAATAAAAAATTGTGAGTGGTAGAAGATCGACGTTTCTGAAAATCCGAAGATCCGAATGTTTTTACCAAACTGACGCGGATGTTGCGAGAAATATTTTCTAAAATTTTCCGATAATTTTTTTTTGGAAACGTTCGATAAACTGTACTTCTTTCACCGATTATCAAGATGAACTCGTACGCCGTGATGAAGACTGTTCTTCTGCATCTAATTCTTCTCGTTCAAGGCTTCTATGCCACCGAGAAGATACGATACGACGGATACAAATTGTATACGGTTTTCGTGCCAGACAATACGGGCCTTGAATTATTGAAGAGCATGGAGGACAACGACGGATACCATTTCTGGTTGAAACCGAGTATCAACAATACGGCGAACGTGATGATCTCGCCGGCGAGGCTTCAAGAATTCATGCAAATCGCCAATACCACCGAACTTGAACCGGAATTGATGATGGACGACGTTCAAAAATACATCGACGACGAGAATCCTCGTGGCTACCTGCGGGGCACGATGGACTGGCTGGGTTATCATCGATTGGACGTTGTAAGGAATGAAATGCTTTTTTCGTCAACTATTTTCACCTCAAATTTCTGTGTAGGTTTTTCTTAAATTCATTCAGTGACCGTAAAAAAGAAAATTCCTAAGTAAATCTTAATTGGTAAATTATTTTTATTTACAATTTCTGTCCGGACTTTTCTTAAATTTATTTAACGACCGTAACAAAGAAAGATTCCTGAATTTGATAGAGAAATAAATCTCGTTTGATGAGTTATTTTTCACCTTCAAATTTCTGTGCAGTTTTTTCTCTTAAATTCGTTCAACGATCATCGATAATATTTGTCTTGTGATTTTTTCTTCCCTTCAGATTTATCGTTGGCTAGATTCCCTCGTAACGCAGTATCCGAAAATCGTGAAACCAATAGTCGGCGGAAGTACCTTCGAAGGCAGAAAAATTAGGGGCGTGAAGCTTTCTTACAAAGGGGGAAATTCTGGTGTATTTATCGAAGGTGGAATTCACGCCAGGGAATGGATATCACCGGCCGTTGTAACGTACATCCTGAACGAATTGATACTAAGCGAGGATCCTCGTGTCAGATACATGGCGGAATCGTACGATTGGTACATTTTCCCTGTCTTCAATCCGGATGGCTACGAATATACTCACACCACGGTAAAAAATCTTTAGTAATTTTCATATTGCGGTAGTAACGAGTAATTTTACGTGCTTCGAGAAAGATTTTCTAAAGTTTCTACGTTCCTCTTTTGTCAAACATATCTATGATTTATGAAGAATATGTAGTAGAGATAATTATTTAGTATTTCACTTAAGCGAATTTTCAGAGAAGGTAGGAAATTAAAAATCTAAATTAAAAAAATTCAATACTTTCGCTGAAATTAGATTAATTTTAGTACTCCCATTGAAATTTGAAAATTTTCATATTTTCGTGAAATTAAATTAATTTTAATACTCGGACTAAAATTTCAAAAATTTAACAAATACTCAGCATGTCACTCGATTGCACGTGCATTCGCAGAAGCAGTAGGAATTAATCAAACGGAAGAATTCCTATACACTTTCTTTTGTCATAATTTAATCAACTTGGTCGAAGCAATTCATTAAACAAATACGATTGCAGACGTTTAATCTGGAGGATTGAAATTTTTCAATCCGCTGAATGAACTCGTATCGATCGTCTATAGATGTACGTCGATTGTATTATTTTTATATTAATTCGAAGTGTAGATTGTAACTGGATCCACAATGAAAATCATTTATTTTGTGTACAAAACGATAAAGACTATACAAAAACGATTGTGTCAGAAATCGTTTGCTAAAATGATTGTTCGAACGACAAGGTCGTCAAGTTTCTCCCCTTTTAATCAATATATCGTTGTATCTTTCATCTGCATCTCTCTCACTCTTTGTCTCTGCATCTCTCTCTCTCTCTCTTTCTTTTTAATCAAAGTATGCTCGCGCAACTAATTGATTAATATCAACGAAACGTGATAATTGTGTGGTCGAAATGATAAGACAAGAATCAAAGTGGAAAGTACGTTTTTCTCTCTGTGTTTAGAATCGACTCTGGAGAAAAACTAGAAAATCGTACGGAAGAGGTTGTTATGGCGCAGATCCGAACAGAAACTGGAATTTCCACTGGGCAGGTACTGGTTTAATAAAACTAAAAGGAACATCTTTGTTTCGCCAGTTTCGTCGACGAATCGTCGTCTCTCTAACAGAAATATTTAGCGTGCAAACTGTGGCCTCTTATGTCTGTATACTTAACAATTGCGAATTAATATGTAGATTATTAGCTGTGTACACGGAAATTTGAGATTGCAAATTTAAGATGAGTAACTTTATATACATTGAAAATTTGTGATTATAAATTTCAAACGAGCAATTTTATACAGACTGAAAATATCAGATCTCAAATTTAAGACGAATAATTTTATATACACTGAGAATTTTAGATCCCAAAGTTGAAAATAATAATTTGATATACACTGAAAATTTGAGATTGCAAATTTAAGAATAATAATTTGATATAAACTGAAAATTTGAGATTGCAAATTAAGTATAATAATTATACACACAGAAAGTGAAGAAAAATTAAGACTGAAATTCTGCAAAATAATTATTCCCAATTCAACAGGCGATATTTTGCAAAAAAGAACAATTTTACTTTCGACAGAACTCTGAAACGATGAGTGAAAATTTTATTTTAATTTTAATTTTCTTTTTCTTTTAATTCGCTCTTCATAACATTTTAGAGGGTGGCACCAGTTCGTATCCTTGCAGTGACGTATTCCATGGCAGCAGACCTTTCTCTGAAATAGAAACCAGAACTATGTCAGAATACATTACCGGCATCCAGGATAAATTAAGCTCGTACATAACGTTCCACAGTTACAGTCAGGTGTTGCTCATTCCTTATGGTCATTCCAGGGAGAGAGTCGATAATTACAAGGACCTGTACAATATAGGAAACCACTCTATACACGCTCTGTCGAAGAGATATGGGACCAAATACAGAGTTGGAAATATCGTGGACATTATGTGTGAGTGAATTAACGAAGAAATCGAAGAATAATTTTCAAAAATTTTTCCATGCAAAATAGCGAGGATGAAACGATAACATAGGAAATACATCATGATACATTAGGTTGAAGCATATTTCACTTAGGGAAGTTTGAAAAATTTTGATTTCAGAAAATTTTTAAAAATTTCCATTTCTATTTAAAAAAATTTTTGACCGTCCTTTCACAGATTATTCTTTCTCCTAATCAATGATTTAGTCGCCTAGCACTAAGTCCACCTTTGAACTGATAAAACATAATTACCCTAATCCCTTGTAAATCCAACTCTCGAAAAATTGCGTAACCTCGCATTAAACAAAGAGATTATTACGCTATCCTCGATCGACAATTTTACATGGATCAGTCCGATAAAAATGAACGAACCTGTGAATTTTGATCGTTCGAAGTTAAGTTCAATTTTCGATTATTTCGTTATTTCGTTGTTCCTAGACACTGCATCCGGTGGATCGATGGACTGGGTTCGTGGAAAGTTTAATATCCCCGTGACATTCACTTACGAGCTTCGAGACACAGGAAGATACGGTTTCATCCTGCCGGCCAGTCAAATTATACCCACTGCAGAGGAAACTCTGGATTCTCTGGTCGCGATGTTTCAACAAGCCGCGAAACTCGGTTACGGCTTACCTCAGTCGGCAATCGTACGATATTGATTAGATTTACACGCAGATGAATAATCGTATCGGTGTAAATCATTGGTCGTACAAAATTTTATTATATTCTATTAAGAAACTATAACAAGAGTACTACTGCACATGTATTTAAACGCACAGTATGCTTGCACTGATTACAATATTGCATAATTTCAAGTGTACGATAAAAATTTTGAAAATTTTTATAGGAGAAAATAATAAAAAGATCGGAATTTTTTAAAAACCATTTCTACTTATTTTCTCGTTTCGGAGAATATATTTTCTAGAAAAAAAAAGAGTGGACGTAAGTTTGTACAATAACTTTGCATAGGAGAAAACAATAAAGAGGTTAGAATTTTTTTTTAAATCATTTCTCCTCCACTTTTAATTTCATAGAAAATATTTTCTAGAAAAAGAGGAATGAATGTAAGATTTTACAATAACTTTGCACAGAAGAAAATATTAAAAAAAAGATAAAACAATTTTTTAAATTATTTCTTCCACATTTCTATCAAGAAGACACCCAATTTCTTCGAAAATATTTTCTACAAAAAAGGAACGAAACTAAGTTTCTAGAATAACAAAAGCGTTACTCTGATAGCTATCACGAAACCGAACATTCGTTCCCTGGCGTAAGGTTGATTAGAAACACGGTAGATCTAATTTATGATTTCCACCTCCATAACACAACCACCAATCAAAACCAACCTAATGCCTATATATACATCTACACACCTGAAAAGGGACAATTAACAGTACAACGACTGAGACACATCGTCAAAAAAAGAATAACCGAATTTCAACTATAATTTCAACAAAACATCTATCAAACATCTACATCAACGAACCGAAAGCAAATCATCTATCAAACATCTACATCAACGAACCGAAAGAAAACCATCTAATCCAACAACCAAGATTCATTACACCTTGAACCAGCGAGAACTATCATCAACCTGCGCCAGAACTCCTCAAAGTCATAAGTCGTGATCAAAGTCCACGACGCAACAAATATTTTCTACAAAAAAAGAGCGAAACTAAGTTTCTAGAATAAAAAAAGAATTACTCTGACAGCTATTACGAAACCGTACTTTGGTTCCCTGGCGTAAGTTTGATTACAAACACGGTATATCGAATTCTTTTTACGTGCCCCTCTTATCTAAATTTTCGATATTAGTCTTAACATATCAACTGTCGCTCGCAATCTTGATAATTGATACGTATTTGTTAAACTGTGAACGCAATTAAATACCACGATCTACGAAGATAGCTGTCTCTCTAGGATCCAGTACTGTTCTGGAATTGTAATTTCCACACTTCACTAATTTATACAGTAAACAAAGCGCCTTCATTTGCAACCGTTACGTCGCGTTACTTTCAGATCCGTGGAATTGATAATTAAATTATGCCCACAACGATCTTCAGAACATGCAAATTAACAAATCCCGATGTTCGAACAACTTCACTATTACCTGTAACCGTTGTAATTTACGACTGCAACGTAACAGATTGTATCATGAAAAGAAAAAAAAAAGGAAAAGAATAACAGTGAAATGTACGGTGATTTTAATTCAAATCGATCCATCATGGCATGTGTTCACCGAGCAACTAACTCGCTGTAATGTGCTTCCTTGTTGAAACTTCGATAGAAATTTCATTTGTTACCGTGGAAATAGGAAAAAAATTAAAATAAATAGATAATAGCCGCAATCACAGTAGAATCCAGTAGAAGTACTCAGGAATTAAAAGTGGTCTGCAACTGATTGTGAAATTGTTACAATGCGTCAAGAAAGATAGTAAGATTAACGAGATAATGCTGGTCACTCGAAACGCATCTGATAAGATCGATTCAGATCCAATAATCAACAACATGATTCTTGAATAACGATCCAACAGAAATGATCGTTGGTGCCGTGTGCAGATGAGACGTTTAAATACAACGACAGGATTCCTCGGCGATAGATACTTCTCTCGTGATTGCACAGGGTAAGATCATTCAACCTATTCTTTGCTTCTTTCGAAAGTAATTAATTAGATGTGAAAGTGTTGTTTTTTTTTTTTTAATTATTTGCGTTTCTCGTAATTTGAATTTATAAACATTTCTGAACACTGGATTTATAATCGTTCGTTTGTTATTGTGTTATAGAAATTACGAAGATTCTCTTGTGATAGATCTCTGAATTTTTTTATTGTTATTGTTGCGTTGAATCTTCGTTCGTAATAATTTTATGAATATTTCTGAAGACTTGTTCGTTGGCTATAGTGTTATGAAAGTCATAACAATTAAATTAAAGAATTATAAAAATTCTTTCGTGATAGATCTTTGATTTTTTCATTGTTAACGTTGCTTTGAATTTTTGTTTAAAATGGTACGACTTTAGTTGCAATTTTGATATCTTTTTCTGTTCTTCATAGGAGAAGCATGATGTGGAAGATATTTTTCTTCGCATTCGTCGCTTTGGCGACAGCCGAGCAAGTGAAGTATGACAACTACAAGGTATTCCGTATTGTGCCTAAGACGGCAGAACAATTGGAAGCCATAGAACAACTAGAAAAATCTTCTGACGGCGTATGTATAATTACATTCTATTAATTAAATTCCTTACTCAATGCTGACATTAAGAAACATTTAAAAAATCAACAAAAATAACACTCTTCCGTTAACTCAACAAATCTTTCTTATTACCAAACATTGAAGATCAGCATCTTAAATTTACAAAGACACTAAAATTAACTTAACATTTGCTAACTTACCAAAAATTTACCAGATCCAAATTAAAAGGAAAGACGATTATCGATAATTAATAATTAATTATATAATTTCACAGTTCTCTTTCTGGAAAGAGCCAAGCACCGTCGAGAACTTCGTGGATGTGATGGTTGCGCCCCACAATATCCCGATGTTCCACGATGTGATGAAAACTTTGGAAGTCCCTTACGACACCTACGTCAGCGACGTTCAAACTTTAATCGACAGTGAACAGCCGCCAGTTCAACCACTCGTCGCATTCGACTTGAACAACTACCACAAACTCGAAGAGATTTACTCTTTCTTGGACAAATTGGCTCAAAACAATCCCGGAAAGGTCCAAGTGATCGAGGGTGGAAAAACGTACGAGGGTCGCAAGATCAAAGGTGTGAAGATATCCTTCGGCAAGAACAAGCCTGGAATTTTCATAGAGGGTGGAATTCACGCAAGGGAATGGATCACCACAGCTTCCATTCTGTACATAACAAACGAACTGTTGAACAGCAAGGACGCGAATGTCAGACAACTCGCCGAATCGCACGATTGGTACATCTTCCCTGTCTTAAACCCTGATGGCTACGCTTACACACACAGCACGGTAAGCAATTTGAAGGAATAACAGTACTTACTCGTTCAAGAATTTAGGAATTTCGAAAGTTATGCTTTATGCAGAAATTTTCAAAATTTTGAGAGACATTACGACGTTGAAACGAGAAATAGGAAAATTAGTATTCGTGTTCAAGAGAAGTGAGTTTAAATTATGAAAATAAATTGTAGTGGTGAGTTTATATTATCGAATTCGGTGAATTTTAGTGATCGTCGAAATTTCAGAACCGAATGTGGAGAAAGACCCGCAAACCATACGGCAGCTTTTGCTACGGAAGTGATCCAAACAGGAACTGGGGATACAAATGGATGTGTGAGTGTCTGATTTGAAGTGTTTCGAACGATTCTTCATACTTTTAGAATTTTCTTTTAGCGAAGTGTTGTGACAAATTGTTTAAGAGATATTCACGATTTCGTTATTTTTCAGCTGGTGGCTCTAGCAGCAGCCCATGCTCTGACACTTATGCCGGAAGCTCTGCGTTCTCCGACGTCGAAACGAAATCAATGTCCGAATATATCTCGTCTATCAGCAACAAATTCTACGCCTACGTCGCTTTCCACAGCTATTCGCAGCTTCTCATGTTCCCCTACGGTCACACTAAGCAACATTTAGAAAATTACAACGAGTCTGTAAGTACCAGGATTAATCAAAGAAATATGAAGAATAACGCTGAATTAGATCTTCCTTCTCCAAGAATATTTTCATATAAAATGTTTATTGTTACAAAGTTTGAGTGAAACACGCTTCAATTTGCTTTTTGTTCACAAACGTAATAAGAAATGTTCTCTCCTTCTTATCGAGAGACTTTATCAAAATTCCCGATTCGATCGAAATTCTGTCGCACGAGAAATGACAATCAATGCTTCGTGACACTTGATAATAATGATGGATTATGACTAGTTCTATGCCAGTTCTATCTGTTCACTGATAATGCAACATCTTGATTGAGATTCGTCAATTGAATTTCGACGACGCAGATAATCTTGAAACTCTAAATAACTTTGTGCACTTTCAGCTTGAAATCGGTAAAAAAACTATCCAAGCTCTTGCCAAACGCTATGGAACCACCTACAAGACTGGAAACATCGCTGAAACTATTTGTAAGTTACAGACTAATTTACAGGACAATTTTATAGAACACTTAGACGTGACAAAGCGATAAGAAGAAACAATTGTTTCCTTCGACAGGCTCTCTTCATTGTGTTATCTTAACTTTAACGTTGAATCTTCTCTTTCAGATGTTGCAAGCGGAAGTTCAATGGACTGGGTGAAGGGAACTTTCCACAAACCCGTAACCTTCACTTACGAGCTCCGAGACACTGGTCGTCATGGTTTCTTGCTTCCACCTGATCAAATTGCCCCAACAGCACTCGAAACCCTGGACTCTTTGGTCGCTATGTTCAAAGAAGCAAAGGCAAAAGGCTACGAATAAACACAATCTTAGGATAGATTGAACCTTTTTATAAAATGTAAAATTCAACAATGTATACACTGCCCGAAACGAAATTCACCAGGCAACAATAGACTTTGAAAATCAAATTTTTTACTTTTCGTCTCAGTTCTGAAATTTTCAATTGTTTTACGTTTGCTAATTTTCAACTCCGTTTCTTTGTATTCTTCGTTATTCATACGAAGTATTAATCTTAGAGTTGGTAATATTTATGTTACCTAAGCAAAGTATGAAATAACATTTTGAAATCGTTTAAATATTACCTAGATTGTACATTTTACCGGTAACATACATATTCCTTTTTGTACAATTGTCCTTCCCTTCTTTTCTCACAATACTGCAACATAATAGCACCTTTCGTTCATATACAATTAGACAGATCTAAAATATCAAATTTTTCTCAATAATTTCTTCTCTATTTTTCTTCAGATTAATACTACTTCTACTTTGTCCTGTCGGTAAAAATAGAAAAAAAAAAACAGCGATACTTTCATGAAACACGTAACGCATACCCCGTTGTTTGTACTGTTATAATTTATCTGAAATTAATTCAGTGAACCGCGAGCGATTTCGCAATTGCTTTAAGTTCCTTCCTTGAAATTTTCCCGGAATGCGTATGAGGAAGTTTCGGCAAAAATTTTACTCCGCCGCGTAGTTTGTAGTGGTCCATTAGGTTACTCGCGACCATTTGCATCAATTCTTCCGCGGTAACCTATCGATTGAATCATAAAAATCGTTTCATTCGATATATCTTGTAGAAAATTTAGTTAAAAAATAATCGTCTTTTCAAACGTACGTCTTTATCGTTTACTTTGCTAACGAATGCAATAGGATGTTCGTCATCCGTAGGATGAGGTATACTAACCACTGCCACTTCTAAGACAGCAGGGTGAGATTGCAGGAGATTTTCAATAACATTTGGCGTTATTTGTTGTCCTCTGTATTTAATGATTTCCTTCAATCTGTCCACGATGAATATTTCTCCATTGTCGGTGTAGTAACCTAAATCCCCCGAGTGCAACCATCCTAAAAAAGATTATTTTATTATCCTTATACACATCCTGCCAAATTTCTTCAGGAATACAAGTTCATCCTTCCATGACTGAATTTTTTTTAAAGAATTTGTTGTTTGTCTATTGTAATGGATACTAAATTAAGATTAATTTTTGTTCGAGTACTCAAGTGAGACATATGCGTTCCACTGATCACGAAAAGGGTTAAACAAGATAAACAAGGGTTAAAACAGTTTCACGAGGTTTTACTGCAAAAACAGGAAAAGTTGTACCTTTCTTCTAAATTATTGACTCACCCTGGTACATATAAATTTGTCAAGAATATTTCGAAATTATTGTATTTACCATCCTTGTCCATGATGTTCTTCGTAGCTTCAGGATTCTTGTAATAACCAGTCATCATAGTCGCTGACTTCGCGCAGAGTTCGCCATTTTGGTTCGCACCCAACATCTTCCCAGTTTCGGGATCCACGATTTTTATTTCACAATTTGCGTTCACCACACCGCAGGATCCGCTGCTGGAGTTTGCTAATTGTGAAGAAACTAGTCCGCCAAGCTCGGTCATACCTAAGACGAAAAGTCAATTTTCATATTAAGATATTCAACGCTTCAATTCTTCCACGCATGAAGCGTAATTTTTTTTTTTTCGTTACGCACAATACTTGATTAATTTTTTATCCTAGACTTCATAGCTCACCGTATGCCTGCAAAATTGTCGTATGTGGCAACTGTTTCCTCAGCAAATCTTGAGATTCTTTATTCAACGAAGCGCCCCCGGTGAAAAGAATCTTTAGACTGGAAAGATTATAGTCGTGCAAACGATTGAAACGAGCAAATCGATTCGACATACTGGTACTCAGCAGCATCCACGTGACCTAGAAAAGAATAATAAAAAAAATGATGAATAACGATCATTGCAGAAGAATGTATGAAACAATTGCGATTCCTTTCAGAGTCGTCTATAAAGTGCATGCACGAAGTAACTCTGAATGAAAATTTATCGTTCGAAACTTTTACGTTTAATCGTCGCTGATAATGTTATTATTAACTTTCTCGGTACATATGGAAGAGCAGTGGCGCTGAACTATTGTGATTAACATAATTCCAACGAGTCTTTCGATACCACTATTCCATATCACTTATCGTTCTGTCGATTTTCAACCATTTTTACAATATTTAAAAAACAATCGTACAACACGCTAATCGTCCCCATTCACTGTGGATCTCTATATTTCCAAAAGTACATCTTTCACAAAGATACTTAAAACAAATCAAATCTTATGTTCCCTGTAACGTGTAATTTCTAACATTGAAGTGATTTTCTCATCGGTAAAATTCTGAAATTTACGAATGTATGATATTACGATTACAATTGCCAGTTTAAATTTGCAAAAATTTCAAAGTACGAATTTTCGAAGCAGCACGATACACGTTGAGACTCTCTACAAAAGGAATCGAAGAGGTATATGCACCTGAAATTTCTCGACAATTTCGCAGGTTGTCTTCTCGTCGAATTCCGGCGCGAGGAGAAGTAAGAATTTTCGAAGCAGCAGGATACACGTTGAGACTCTCGATAAAGTGAATCGAAGAGGTATATGCACCTGAAATTTCTCGACAATTTCGCAGGTTGTCTTCTCGTCGAATTCTGGCGCGAGGATTCTCGTGGAGCGAGAGTAAAGGCTGGTAAGAATAAGCAGCGATGCACTGACCCAGTACAGAGAGCTGAACCACAGAGGTAGATGAGCACTGAGATTAACGCTGTCGCGTCTTTGCAACATGTTCAGCAACGCTCTCTGCGGCAGCTGAACACCCTTTGGCAAACCGGTGGTTCCAGAAGAGAACAAGATCAGCGCTGTTTTCGAAGAATCTTCGACTTCGTTGCATGAAAATTGATCCACCGCAGATTTATCGTGGCCCTTCAATATCTCCGAGATCGACGTCGTTCCTAGATAATCGCCGAAAGATACCATTATCGGGTGGAAAAACTCGATCTTCGCTGCCTCCATCGCCACTCCAGCCGATTTCTCGTTCGCGAAGATCACTTTCGGCTGTACCAATGTCATGAAATGACGCGCCAATTCTGTAAAGTAATAATCAGTCGAACATTATGTCATTGTTATGTCATTCGTATCGTATTGAAGTTATGCAACGACATGAAACGAATGTTATACACTGGTTCCTCCTCCACGACCACTTTTCGATCGAGGAGTGTCTGTTCAATCGATATATTTTCCATTACGTTTGGTGATCACTTTAGACGGGTGGATTCTTGGAAACATTCTAAGTCGAAAACGAAGAGTGACAAAATTACGTCTGAGGTTTCGTTAACTAGACATTAACAAGTGAAATTCTTTCCTAAAGTAGCTATCTAATTTCTTGTTTCATTTTTAGCTTTACTTTAGCCTGGTTTGCTTTACTTTAATAACATTTCGTCTATTTCCGTGAAATATTTTTTTTCATCTTTGTAACCTTACGTCAGTTTTGCATCACGAATACCAATTAACAAGCACAGCCTGCAAAGTGCGTTTAACGTATCAGCCTGTAATTATCATTATGTATGTACTTCACGGTAATTCTGCATCGGCAGCAAATCACTTTCAGCATAAATCACTTCAATTGAAAAATACAAAATGATATACGTTCAAGTGACAGCTGTGGCAAGCAAAAACCATACGCTACGCCTCAACGTTACGAAGCTTAAGTTCACCAGCTTGAGGACTTACGAATATTCATCTCGTAGTCCCACGGATTGACAATGGCGCCGAGGAAAAGCGCAGCCAAGAAGGGAACAATAGCGTCGAGATGATTGTGCGAGGAAATTGTTACGATATCGCCTTTTCCTACCCCTTGTTTTTGCATCCAAAGCGCGCATCTCACTGCGCGATCCGCGATGTTCGCGAAAGAGTCCTTGGCACCTGTGATCGTGTCCACCTGAAAAGATTTCGATCGAGCAATGACATTGTTCTGATTTTTCGAATCGGTCTAGAATTTTCTAAATAAATGTTGTTCTTTTATATATGTTCGTTCAGTGATGCTGCTTGCTCAAGGTGCATGTCTGTTAATTTGATCGATGGATTTCTGCATTTGATCTACGATTTTACACTCATTCGTCGTTTTACATTTTTCCACGTTTATTTAATGACGTCACTAAGGTGATTGGATTTTTTTTTAATCAGTTTATGCATGTGTTTTGTAAGATATAAACAGATGGCAAAAATGTGCCCTGTGATACCGATATTTTTGAATTCAGTGATGAGGTCCAAAGACGAAGAGCAAGAAATGGAAGTAACTTACACTTTTAGAAATGTAAGGCCATTGTAGTTCGTCAATCCTTGTATTATTAAAGAAGGGACGAGTAGTTATGTAAAGAATAAATGGAAGACGTAGATTTGTAAATTAATACTTCAAACTTTTCAATTCAATTTGATTTGCAAGCGAATTAAGCTTTCTTTAACTTTCAATCACACTATAAAGATCGAAAGCAGGGAAAGTGAAATAGATCAAAATTAATTAATGTGTAAAGTATCAGTGCGTGTCAGAGTGAAAGTGACGAAAGAATAAAGTAGGATTTGCGACGCTGGTTTTTCCAATTGCGCACAACGGAGTATTTGTGTGAAAAATTTGGCCGAAATTATTTTCAAACGCAATTGTAATACAATTTTGCATGAAACCTCACAGAAGAATGAGACGATTTATATACATGATTAATTTTAATATGAAATTTTCACATTGAAACTCTCGATGTGATATTATAGAATCATTAAATTGCAAACATTCTTTAAATTTTGACGTCACAAAAATGACCGTTATGATACTTCATTTTAATAATATTAGTGTTTAAAAAAAAACACTATTTTGGTTTCTAATTGAGTTTAAAAATTTCAATTCTGGCCAGGTTTTTAAATGAAATGCTCCAATGTGTGGCGTTCTGGAGTGATTGATAGATTGAATGCTACAAAACTGGCAAATAAGATTATCGTACAACTAGTCTACTTAGGATCATTGTTTGCATAATCGGTTCGCTATATTTACTTCGATTGTTTTCACGTTCGAGATAATAGACCAATATGGAGGAAGAATGATATCGAAACTACGAAAAACAATTCCCTATTCTACGCTCCTCTTCTTTTTTTCTTAAATAAACTTCGAGAGTACGAAACATATAAATAAGTGAACTCAAAAATACAGTGTCCCTTCGTTGGCTTACTTCTTCTCCTAAAATAAACCTCGAGCATGCTCCAATTACTGAACGAACGCATGCTACGAATTGTACAACACTTAAACGATACTTTTCCTCGATTTTTCATTTAGTCTTTCAGACGAATCGTTTAACATACTTGTCCAATAACATCCGGATTGCTCCTCAAAGTGTCGAGCAACAATTTCCCCACGCTGCTGAACTGAGTGTCACATGATGACAGTTTCCCTTTTAACACGTTGTTTTCGATTTTGAATAGCGGCTCAACCTAAAAGTAATAATATCGTCACATTAACTGTGCTAGCTTCAGCTGAATATAAATCGTTTAGTATTTTTTAAACTACGAAAGAACAAGTTTAAACTTTCAGTTCATTCGTTATTAATACGAAAATTATTGGTTAATTTTTCATTAATAAGAATACAAAATTTTGAAGTTAAGATTCACATAGTAAATAATTAATGCAAGAGAAACATCACTGAAAAATTGAATTTGTTACTGTTTAAATTACACACACAGGCCTTGTGTCATACCGACAAAAAGAAGCCAAAAAGAAAATACGATATTTCACGTTACTTTTATAATTCACGAAGTCGACGTACTTTCAAATGTCACAGGATACAACTAGCCCGAAATTATTTCACTTTCAAACGATTTATGACAGGGAGTTACTGTGGTCATTAGGAATGAGAAAGTTGCACAGTTATCGAGTGTTCTAGGACCGATTGTTTGGTAAGAAGCACGTGAGTGCAAGGTGGCATCCAGCCAAACCTTCGTTTCAAGTTTACGAATACGATATCGCCACGAGAAAATCTGCTTTTCCCGTAACGAAGAAAGTGCTTTCTTTCCGAGTAAACTCCATGGCACACTCACCCGATAACTATCGAAACAATCTAATCTATACGAAATGTCAATTTCCAACGTACGTTGTACTCTACCGGAAGCGTTTATTTATTGAAAATCTTACGTTATCCTGAGTGTCGTTAGCGGTCATATTAACGAACGTAGAAGACGAAGCTTGTTATATCTGTTACAGGAACCACTTTTTACAATTGACCAACTTTTTCCCGTATTTCCGCTACGGAGAATGCGACCGATGCATCTGACGATGATCCTCGAACGACTGCAACGGCAAACGTTAGATGAACGACTTTTCCTTCAAGTGCATACCCTCTCAGTCGCTTTTTCCCCCCTCTTTTGTCAGTTGTAAAACACTACACGAACCAGTAGTTACGCGATTTCTGGTATTCGCCCTCGATTATTACGGCTTTTAGTTCACGACGATAATTTCGATCTTTTTCTATCCATTTCTACAGAGAATTACGGAAGAATGTTGATTCGATTATTTCAAAAGGCAAACGTGTGATAAATTTGTCAAATTACGTTTCTCGCGTGTTTTGGTCTAGTTTTGCATGCATAGTAAAAGAATATCTAATTCGTGCTTTCTTTTTTTATATATGGAGAAATTTTAGGTAAGGTATTTTGGTACTTTTGAATTGTTATTAAGTTTGTTGGATGATTCGCAAAGAGATCAATATGACAATCGGCACTTTTAACACTCGTCGAAAAGAAATTAGTCAATGTCAGCTAACTTTCCAAATGAAAGTCAAAATTCGCAAGATCGACTTACTCGAATGGTAAAGAAAAGGTTATCGATAAAGCTTATCCCATAATGTGTGAGATTTTTCATAATTTTAGGGATGAATTCAGCAAATAAAAATAAGAAGAAAAATTCGTATAAACGTATGTTCGACGTGACCTTGTTCTTGAAATCGTGCGTAAAAATTTGAGAAAGTTGAATAAAGATTCTCAAAACTTTACTTCATCAACAAGTTCGTCATACAGTTCTCTATCACGAGTGATAATGGCTTCATTTTGTGACATAACTAGTAGAATACAACACAATATTTCATTTCACCTCAATACTTCCCTTTGACCTGGTTTTCTCGTGTGGAAGCACAATATATAAACAACCCGAAAATATAGTACTCGATATAATATTTGCTGAATAAAATAATTGCCTATTGTTACGGAACGGTCCGTATCGGTTGAGATCGCCTTCGTTTCGGGTTGGTTAAAGGCGTCAAATTCCAGAAATGTGCTTGATGTCGTTTTATTTAATGTTTAGTTCGAACGGGTGTCGTTCTAGGTGTACTGTTTTAGACTATCTGTCGATCTTTTTTTTTTTTTTTGAACAGGCAGCGCCTGTGTAGATTTTTGCTTGAATTTGGTGTAGAGTCACCTGGCGTAAATCAGCGCCCTATACTCTAAAAGACTTTGAAGACATTAAGTATCATAAAAAAAAAGAAATTTGCTAATTAAAAATGAAGTCGAGGTCATGCAGGAAAAGTTGCAGAAAACCTGCTGAAGCCTGGTGGTTGCCTCAACGGGGGCAAATCTGGGTTGCTCCTTGGAAGCGGGAGAAGATAGTATGGGTAGTACACACTCCTGAAAGGATAAAAAATTTAGTACACGTACAAGAGAACACGCAATGACCACACTCGGGATGCATTCCGGAAGCGTTGAAGACATGCAATGTACAAAACAGCAGCAGAGTGGGAGACATGCATCGGTGACGAGCCAGCCTGCGGGGAATGGGGGAGGCAGGCTTTGGCTGATCGGTGAACGAAGGCAGGAGAGAAACCTAGAGCGTGGTTGACCCGTCTTGGACTACTTCTAAAGGAAAATTCACCCTTGGTCTGTACGGGAGGTGGTGAAGCCTGAAGGTACCGGTGTTCCTGACCATAGGATTGGGATGATCATTAACTGTATAACTGTTTGCAAGGCGAGAAATGCATTGCTTAATAAATGGTAGTTTGGCCTTTAGACTATCTGTCGACCTTGTGCAGGTACGTCGGTTTTATACTAGTTTTGGCACCTTGCTTCCGACCAATCAATGGTCAGGAAAAGGGCCTGGAGTCGAGCGTCGCTTCGTGGCTTTTTCCCGACTTTGCTCCCTTCCTACCCGTGGCGGTTGCTTGGCGTTTTGGTTTATAATTATAAAGGTGCTTGGTTGTGGTAATAATAATATCTAATAACAATGTTAATAATAATCCAATAATAGTATCTAATAATAATAATGTTGATAAGAATATTATAATAGTATCTAATTACAATAATGTTAATAATAATATAATACACCTGTCCCCCGATTTACACGGATGATCGGTTCCTCAGAATACCGTGTAAATAGAAATCATGGCTTTTTGTATGAAAAACGGTGTAAATCGGGGAAAAAACAGAATGCGCATAATTCAGTCGGTTATTTAATTAAATTCATTACACCTATCCCCCGATTTACACTGAAGATAGGTTCCTTAGAAAACCGTGTAAATCGAAAACAAACTAAAATGTGCATAATTCAGTCATTTGTTTCAACGTAAAATAAAACTAAATATATCTTAAAAAACATGAAAATAACGGTCTATTCATAAAATGATAAAAATATAAAGATATATGTATGTAATTGATTTTACATGTAGAAACAAGAAGTATAAATTCCAAAATTTAACCAAAAATTTAATTACTGTTATCACTTTCGTAGACTATTAATCTTTTATTCCTGGTTGGTATGATGTCACTTTCATCACTCGATAGTACTTGATGCGATTCAAGTTCGATGTTGGATGAATTAGAAACAATTTCAGATCGGCGAGCCTTGGTAATGAAATCCGTAATTAACAATTGCGTTTGGTTTTTGATCAAATCTTTATAGACCTCCTCATATTGAGTTAAGCGTTTATTAATATCTCGCTGAAATAGGAGAGCTCGTTCAACATTCGGGTCATTTTGTAGAAAATGATTACCCAAGTCCTTCACGGATGACTTTTGCTGTGAACGCAACTGGTTCAGACTCCTCTTCCTCTTTTAAAAACCGTGTAAAAGTGAAATCGCGTAAATAAAGTACCGTGTAAATCGGGGGATAGGTGTAGTATCTAATAACAATGTGTGGCGGAAAGGCAGTGGGTTCGTAACAGTCGTGTACTTTTAAATCGAAATTTCTTTTCATTTATGAAAGTATCATTCAATTTTCTACCCAAACGATTTTATCAATCCTGTTAAGACACTCGATTTATAGAAAATTTCCTTCGTACAACACGAAAACATTTTCTCTAAGCTAACGAAGAAACTGATAAACTTTTCGAAACAAATTTCAACTAGCTATGTATATACGAAATTTTGAAATTTCCATGAAAAATTTGATTCGAAAAAGTACTAGATCGAGAAGTAAAGATTTTTATATCTCTGTGCTTTCGCTGTACGATTGCAAAATTACTCGGTACGAATTTGTTATTAGAGCTTAAATAATACAACGCACAGCAGCCGACCCTCGAAACAGCCGATGAAAGAGGCAAAGAACGAGAGTGAGAGAAGTAACAATATCTCAACTGCTCGAGAAGTCGACGAACAATAACTCGACGCTATTATACTATCTAAAGCCTGTAAAATTATCCAAGGGTACAGCTTCCCGAGGTGAATGTACAGTGTGTACTTTTAGGTAGTTAATCTTCGCCTTTAACTTGAAGACTTAATAGAAAAAGAACATATTGATTGTAACGATAAAAATGAACGTTAATTTCTTCATTATTCGTATCATCGTTCAAGCAACGAAACGTGAATCATGAAAGCCACACGATTCTTTTCTGCCGAACTTCTCGTGACGTGTCAAATCTATAGAAACAATGACTTTTGGATTTTCAATTACAGTTTTCCGCCTCGTAACTAGTGACTCGTTATACTTCGATCCAGTGATTAGAAGGAACAAACGAGCTACGTGATGCAAATGCGACAAACAAATGCTTTCCTTTAATGCCGAAGGAAAGATACTGCATTATCATTTTATTACATAATTCATAGGAAACAGTGTTTCAAAAATGTCACGAAACATGATGTGGTATAATTTATTACAATTCTGTTGTAACGTACACTAAACGAATTGATAACTTCTTTACTTCGATACGACTTCTCTTTGAGCTCTTAAGGCTCTGCGTTCCTCCAGTTTCTTCCGCAACGCGTCTATTTCCGGCGAAGTAACAGGCTGCGGCTGTTGCCGCGATTTAGATGGCAAAGTAGCGCGTCTGAAACGAGGACCAATTGTGCAAATTTTTGTTTGCAATTTTTTACAATTATTTTGTATCATTTCCTTATTTCAACGTGTATAATTTTGCAAAAGAAAATTCTTCGATGAAGTAACAGGCTGCGGCTGTTGCCGCGATTTGGATGGCAAAGTAGCGCGTCTGAAACGAGGACCAATTGTGCAAATTTTTATTTGCAATTTTTTACAATTATTTTGTATCATTTCCGTATTTCAACGTGTATAATTTTGCAAAAGAAAATTCTTTGATTTGTGCGTTTCTTTCGATGAGTTATTCGTTCCACGAGAAATCTGATTTCTTCTTTACTTTAGTCTTTAATACTTTCTTTCTTTTCGTTGCAAAAAGTCGCACTTTTTATTATTTAACTTTTATGTCGTTGAAAAAATTGGAGTAATAACATCTTCGTCACTTTTAATTTTCAATAATGTAACATTACGTCGCAAATTAAAAATCGTCGATAGAGAAGACTGCTTACTTGTTTGCTTTGTATTCCTCGAGAGCTCTCCGCGTTTCTTTCATCAAATTCTTCTGCCTCTCTCGTTCTCGATGAATGAGAAATTTTCGACTCTTCGTCTCCTCGTCTAATTTCATTTTCATCCAAAACGATCTCTCTTTCAGCTAAAATACACGATAGAAACTATCAGGATTGTTCCGTTGTAATCTATCGTTTCGTAGAAACGCGATGAACCTCAGCTAGAGACATTTCGCAAAGAAGACCTAAACCGCTTGATTCCGTAGGATCGAAATCTTTAAAAGGCAACGCTCGTAACGATTGAATCATTTTGATCCCTTGTATCATTTGAATTTTCCTCTGTGTCTCGTCTTCTCTCTGTTTCACCAACAATGCCTTCAATTGACGCGATTCTTCGGTTACTTCTGCCGCTGGTAAGTTTCAAATACAACTTTTTACCTCATTTTCTTCTTTCCTTTCATCTAATTTTCTATTATACCTTTCTGCTTTTTCTCGTCGAGCATAGCGTTGAAAGCTTCGCGAGACGATTGCTCGATCTCGCGACATTTTTCAACGATCTCCGTCATTTCCTTGTTGTGACTTTGCCTCCATTTCTCTAGTTTCTCGTATAAGTCTTGTTTCTTTGGAAACACGAAAGGTACGAGAAAATCATTGATTTAAAACAATAGAATTCACTGCTTTTAAATATTTTTTAAGAGCTAACATCTGTTACAATGTTTATAATTTTGTGATTTTGAAATTTACATCGTAATCACATTAGATGAAGTGTAATTTATTAAATACCTCCTTTCGCACGTTTTCTCCGTGCACTTTAACGTCATTTAGCAGCGATTGTTTCGCTATAAATGCACCCTCGCGTGTTAACAACGCTAAAAGGTGTCTCTCTTGTATCTTCAGCAATTCCTCCTCCTTTTGCCGCTGTCTCTTCTCCTCTTCGAGTTTTTCGATCGAGAATGGATCGAGACCTCCTTCCGTCAACGCTTTCAATCTGTAATTGTCCACGTCAAATACGAAACAAGTTGGAAAACATGTAATCATTGTCAAACTACTAAGAATTATTTAATCCAAGAAGAAATGAAAAATGCTGAGAAAAGCAACGTTTCCCATTTTTATTAGAGACAAAATTTTCTCCATAATTTTCATCGATACTTTTACTTTTTTATCTCTTTCTCCTCGTTGCTTATCACGCGAGAACATTCTCTCAAAGTCGAAGCTGCGGTTTGTTTCACCACGACAGGCTGCAACGAACAGAAAATCGATCGTATTTAAAAAAAATTTGAACAAAGTTCAATTAGAAAATATTCTGCAACTATTTTCCACACCTTAAAGGTCGGAAGAGATTTTCTCACGAAATTCGGCTTGGATTTCTCGGGTTCGATCGATCTCCTCAAATCTTTACGACGTTGAGAGCAACTCGGAGCTTTTCTGTCCCCATCTATCAGCAAATTCATCGCGTTCAATTTATTGGCAACGCGTATCGAATCCAATTTCGTCTCTATCAACGGCTTAAGATAGTTCGTCCTTGGAACTTCTCGAAAAAATTTCATCGCCGACAAATCCTATCCAGGATATGAGTCTTCAGAAAAGGGAAACCTTAAAGGTTCGTTAATTCAACCGCTTTAATTAACATAAAGTCGTGATTGATTTAATTAATTCGACGCTCGTTTGAAAAGTTTCAAAAGGCACGAAGATGAAACTGATTTTATTGAATCACGAGCATAATGTTATCTACTTATTTAAGAGAAAAATTGCATATCGTTCGATTTATATTCTTTCAAAGACAATGATTCCAAAAAAACAAAACAAAGCTTTCATAAGGATACTTGTTGGGAAAAAAGGGAAAAAACTTTCAAAGTTAAAAATGATCGAATACTTATCACCCGCTGTTTCTGTTGCAATATCAAAATTGAAACTAGCACATTGTGAATAAATATTTTAATCATGTCAATTTTAAGGAAATCACTCACTTCAGGTGTGTTAGGCGGCACTTTCAAACGCGCTGTTGTTCGATTTAAAACATTCATAAACATCGGTGTCGTTAATTTCTTTTTTGGTATTTTCATTTTCTTCATATGCTCCCTTAAGTTCTCTTGAAGTTTCTATGAAAAATTGACACGAAGCTTACAGAATGTTCGTTTGAAGAAGATCGTTTCAACAAACTGTGAAAGGAACCTCCAAATATTGCGTCGCTTCTAAAAATGGTAACATCAATTTCTGCTCCACGAAATCCTCCTCGAATATTAAGCAACCCATTTTATGAAAGAAATTCGCAGTTGTCGGATTAAGAAGATGCCCGACAAGAGACAATATCTTCTTCACTTTAAAATGAACGAAGCAATCGATGGATTCTTCGAAGAATAAACTGAACACTCTGTACGATAGAATGTAGACGAAAACTGAAAAAAATTAAATTCGTAACTTAAGACAAATTAGAGATTTATCTTCTCTGAGAAAAGAAAGATAAGAAACTTACCTATGACTCGATGCAAATCATTGTAATTACGAGAATTCTGCTTATCCAGATAATCTCTACTTATCGGTTCCAAAAAGGCCACGTAACGAACAACGTTCATAAATAAATCGACGATCACATTTTGCACCGAAGATGGTAAAGTCTGAACGAAAAAGCGTAACGTTGTATTTCTTGGGTAAAAAAATTGTCGAATAAGAAGAAGAATCATAGATTAACCTTAAGATCTTTCAGATTATCGAGATGTTCCCTAATCGGGTTGAAATCGAACTTGCACCTCTCTTTCGATTCCTCCTTGACAAACAAGAAAATACAAAACTCGTCCGGGCTGAATTCCTGGCCACACGTTAGGTACACGTCCAAAATCTCGATCAACGGGATTAGAATGTTCAATTGAAAGACGTTTGTTTTCGACAACTAAAATGAATATTCAGGAATCGCAGAAATTGCAAATTTTCAAATTTGAAAAGCTGTACCTTCTCCTCTGTGCAATCCATTTCTGGAATATCGAGAGCACCTTATTCCTGATTCGACAAATTCCCATCCATTTAAGATTGCAATTTCATCGAACAGTCTTGAAATTTGTTGTTAAAAATAGTATAATATCTCGTCGAACTTCAGAACACTAAGATATTCCAGCGATAGATTCAGAATGTTCGAAAGAATAATTATAAATCGTAGTTGAACCAATTTTCAGGCAAATTGTTGCATCAAAATTACTGCATGCCTCTTGAAAAGAGTGAACATTTTTTTCACAAATAAATCCACGAATTTACGTCTCATCCGATTTCAAAGTTTAACCCTTTCATTGCAGTCGGCGCTTTGAAAATTTACTCGCGCTGTTTCAGTTCGCATCTTTTGGTCCACTTCCACCCTAATTCAATTCTTAATGTCATCATATACCCACTTCTACCTCAATTTAATAAAAGAAATTTTGAAAATCTGCCGCAGCGAAAGGGTTAAGCATACGTAACTAACGTTTGAGATCCATAATATTCGAAGGAAAAACATTAAGCAAAAAACTGTGCGAAAATTAAAAGATTGCTTTCGAAAAGAACTTGACAACTAGAAAAAAAATTTGCCCAGATGAAGAGATATCCACACGCGACCAGTTATCATCATTCAGTAGAGACAGTAAATTTCGAACGATTTTATTAGCCAACGATCCAATCATCAATCGACCAGACAAGCGGTACATGAATAGACAACACGTATTTTCACGCAGATTTATTGACTCTTTCATTCATCAACCACTAAGTAACGATGGACTAAAATCACTTTTTTATCTTTTAAGCCGTTAAAAGCCTAAGAGAAAAGACACATATCTACACGTACAAGTATAAAGTTATACCTGAGAGAGAATTAGTACTCCGAGGCAACATAATTTCATTTACGCACACGACAAGTCGCGTAAACGATTAATACTATTACGGTACAATGCATCCACGGAAAAAAAAATTGATCCTAGGAAAAAGTTCATCATCGAACATAATATCTGGCGCGAAATAATAATTTAGACCAGCAAACAGCAAAATTTGAGATTGCAAATTAAGAATAATAATAATACACACAGAAAGTGAAGAAAAATTAAGACTGAAATTCTGCGAAATAATTATGCCCAATTCAACACGCGATATTTTGCAAAAAAGAAAAATTTTACTTTCGACAGAACTCTGAATCGATGAGATTAAATTTTATTTTAATTTTAATTTTCTTTTTCTTTTAATTCGCTCTTCTTAACATTTTAGAGGGTGGCACCAGTCCGTATCCATGCAGCGACGTATTCCATGGCAGCGGACCTTTCTCTGAAATAGAAACCAGAACTATGTCAGAATACATTACCAGCATCCAGGATAAATTATGCTCGTACATAACGTTTCACAGTTACAGTCAGGTGTTGCTCATTCCTTATGGTCATTCCAGGGAGAGAGTCGATAATTACAAGGACCTGTACAATATAGGAAACCACTCTATACACGCTCTGTCGAAGAGATATGGGACCAAATTCAGAGTTGGAAATATCGTGGACATTATGTGTGAGTGAATTAACGAAGAATAATTTTCAAAAATTTTTCCATGCAAAATAGCGAAAGTGAAACGATAACATAGGAAATACATCATGATACATTAGGTTGACGCATATTTCACTTAGGGAAGTTTGAAAAATTTTGATTTCAGAAAATTTTTAAAAATTTCCACTTCTATTTAAAAAAATTTTTGACCGTCCATTCACAGATTATTCTTTCTTCTAATCAATGATTTAGTCGTCTAGCACTAAGTCCACCTTTGAACTGATAAAACATAATTACCCTAATCCCTTGTAAATCCAACTCTCGAAAAATTGCGTAACCTCGCATTAAACAAAGAGATAATTACGCTATCCTCGATCGACAATTTTACATGGATCAGTCCGATAAAAATGAACGAACCTATGAATTTTGATCGTTCGAAGTTAAGTTCAATTTTCGATTATTTCGTTATTTCGTTGTTTCTAGACACTGCATCCGGTGGATCGATGGACTGGGTTCGTGGAAAGTTTAATATCCCCGTGACATTCACTTACGAGCTTCGAGACACAGGAAGATACGGTTTCATCCTGCCGGCCAGTCAAATTATACCCACTACAGAGGAAACTCTGGATTCTCTGATCGCGATGCTTCAACTAGCCGCGAAACTCGGTTACGGCTTACCTCAGTCGGCAATCGTACGATATTGATTAGATTTACACGCAGATGAATAATCGTATCGGTGTAAATCATTGGTCGTACAAAATTTTATTATATTCTATTAAGAAACTATAACAAGAGTACTACTGCACATGTATTTAAACGCACAGTATGCTTGCACTGATTACAATATTGCATAATTTCAAGTGTACGATAAAAATTTTGAAAATTTTTATAGGAGAAAATAATAAAAAGATCGGAATTTTTTAAAAACCATTTCTACTTATTTTCTCGTTTCGGAGAATATATTTTCTAGAAAAAAAAAGAGTGGACGTAAGTTTGTACAATAACTTTGCATAGGAGAAAACAATAAAGAGGTTAGAATTTTTTTTTAAATCATTTCTCCTCCACTTTTAATTTCATAGAAAATATTTTCTAGAAAAAGAGGAATGAATGTAAGATTTTACAATAACTTTGCACAGAAGAAAATATTAAAAAAAAGATAAAACAATTTTTTAAATTATTTCTTCCACATTTCTATCAAGAAGACACCCAATTTCTTCGAAAATATTTTCTACAAAAAAGGAACGAAACTAAGTTTCTAGAATAACAAAAGCGTTACTCTGATAGCTATCACGAAACCGAACATTCGTTCCCTGGCGTAAGGTTGATTAGAAACACGGTAGATCTAATTCTTTTTACGTGCCCCTCTTATCTAAATTTTCGATATTAATCTTAAAAAATAAAATATAAAAGATACTAGAATTAACGAAATAATCCTGGTCGAAATAACGATCTAACAGAAATTATCGTTGGCGCCGTGTGCAGATGAGACGTTTAAATACAACGACAGGAATGCTCGGCGATAGATACTTCTCTCGTCATTGCACAGGGTAAGATCATTCAACCTGTTCTTTGCTTCTTTCGAAAGTAATTAATTAGATGTGAAAGTGTTGTTTTTTTTTTTAATTATTTGCGTTTCTCGTAATTTGAATTTATAAACTTTTCTGAACACTGGATTTATAATCGTTCGTTTGTTATTGTGTTATAGAAATTACGAAGATTCTCTTGTGATAGATCTCTGAATTTTTTTATTGTTATTGTTGCGTTGAATCTTCGTTCGTAATAATTTTATGAATATTTCTGAAGACTTGTTCGTTGGCTATAGTGTTATGAAAGTCATAACAATTAAATTAAAGAATTATAAAAATTCTTTCGTGATAGATCTTTGATTTTTTCATTGTTAACGTTGCTTTTGAATTTTTGTTTAAAATGGTACGACTTTAGTTGCAATTTTGATATCTTTTTCTATTCTTTTTAGGAGAAGCATGATGTGGAAGATATTTGTCTTCGCATTCGTCGCTTTGGCGACAGCCGAGCAAGTGAAGTATGACAACTACAAGGTATTCCGTATTGTGCCTAAGACGGCAGAACAATTGGAAGTCATAGAACAACTCGAAGAATCTTCTGACGGCGTATGTATAATTACATTCAAATAATTAAATTCCTTACTCAATGCTGACATTAAGAAACATTTAAAAAATCAACAAAAATAACACTCTTCCGTTAACTCAACAAATCTTTCTTATTACCAAACATCGAAGATTAGCATCTTAAATTTACAAAGACACTAAAATTAACTTAACATTTGCTAACTTACCAAAAATTTTCGAGATCCAAACTAAAAGCAAAGACGATTATCGACAATTCATAATTAATTAATTAATTTCACAGTTCTCTTTCTGGAAAGAGCCAAGCACCGTCGAGAACTTCGTGGATGTGATGGTTGCGCCCCACAATATCCCGACGTTCCGCGATGTGATGAAAACTTTGGAAGTCCCTTACGACACCTACGTCAACGACGTTCAAACTTTAATCGACAGTGAACAGCCACCAGTTCAACCACTCGTCGCATTCGACTTGAACAGCTATCACAAACTCGAAGAGATCTACTCTTTCTTTGACAGTTTGGCTCAAGACTATCCCGGAAAGGTCCAAGTGATCGAGGGTGGAAAAACGTACGAGGGTCGCAAGATCAAAGGTGTGAAGATATCCTTCGGCGAGAACAAACCTGGAATATTCCTAGAGGGTGGAATTCACCCTAGGGAATGGGTCGCCACAGCTTCCATTCTGTACATGGCAAACGAACTGTTGAACAGCAAGGACGCGAATGTCAGACAACTCGCCGAATCGCACAATTGGTACATCTTCCCTGTCTTCAACCCTGATGGCTACGCTTACACACACAGCACGGTAAGCAATTTGAAGGAATAACAGTACTTACTCGTTCAAGAATTTAAGAATTTCGAAAGTAATGCTTTATGCAGAAATTTCCAAAATTTTGAGAGACATTACGACGTTGAAACGAGAAATAGGAAAATTAGTATTCGTGTTCAAGAGAAGTGAGTTTAAATTATGAAAATAAATTGTAGTGGTGAGTTTATATTATCGAATTCAGTGAATTTTACTGATCGTTGAAATTTCAGAACCGAATGTGGAGAAAGACCCGCAAACCATACGGCCCCTTGTGCTACGGAACTGATGCAAACAGGAACTGGGGATACAAATGGATGCGTGAGTGTCTGATTTGAAGTGTTTCGAACGATTCTTCATATTTTTAGAATTTTTTTTTAGCGAAGTGTTGTGACAAATTATTTAAAAGATATTCACGATTTCGTTATTTTTCAGCTAGTGGCCCTGACAGCGGCCCATGCACTGACACTTATGCCGGAAGCTCTGCGTTCTCCGACGTCGAAACGAAATCAATGTCCGAATATATCTCGTCTATCAGCAACAAATTCTACGCCTACATCGCTATCCATAGCTATGCGCAGCTTCTCATGTTCCCCTACGGTTACACTAAGCAACATTTAGAAAATTTCGACTCCTCTGTAAGTACCAGGATTAATCAAAGAAATATGAAGAATAACGCAGAATTAGATCTTCCTTCTCCAAGAATATTTTCATATAAAATGTTTATTGTTACAAAGTTTGAGTGAAACACGATTCAATTTGCTTGTGGTTCACAAACGTAATAAGAAATGTTCTCTCCTCCTTATCGTGAGGTTTTATCAAAATTCCCGATTCGATCGAAATCCTGTCGCACGAGAAATGACAATCAATGCTTCGTGTCGCTTGATAATAATGTTGCATTATGACTAGCCAGATCTATCTGTTTGCTGATAATGCAACATCTTGATTGAGATTCGTTAAGTCTTGTTTCGACGACGCAGATAATCTTGAAACTCTAATTAACTTTGTGCACTTTCAGCTTGACATCGGTAAAAAAACTGTCCAAGCTATTGCCACACGCTATGGAACCATCTACCAGACTGGAACCGTCGCTGAACTTCATCGTAAGTTACAGACTAATTTTCACGACAATTTTATAGCACACTTAGACGTGACAAAGCGATAAGACGAAACAATTGTTTCGTTCGACAGGCTCTCTTATTTGTGTTATCTTAACTTTAACGTTGAATCTTCTCTTTCAGATGTTGCAGCCGGAAGTACAGTGGACTGGGTGAAGGGAACTTTCCACAAACCCGTAACCTTCATGTACGAGCTCCGAGACACTGGTCGTCATGGTTTCTTGCTTCCACCTGATCAAATTGCCCCAACAGCACTCGAAACCCTGGACTCTTTGGTCGCTATGTTCAAAGAAGCAAAGGCAAAAGGCTACGAATAAACGCAATCTTAGGATAGATTGAACCTTTCTATAAAATGTAAAATCCAACAATGTAAACACTGCGCGAAACGAAATTCTTCAGGCAGCAATATACTTTGAAAATCAAATTTATTATTCTTCATCTCAGTTTTGAAATTTTCGATTCTTTTACGTTTGCTAATTTTCAACACCATTTCTTTGTATTCTTCGTTATTCATATGAAGTATTAATCTTAGTGTTGGTAATATTTATGTTACCTAAGCAAAGTATGAAATAATATTTTAAAATCGTTTAAATATTACCTAGATTGTACATTTTACCGGTAACATACATATTCCTTTTTGTACAATTGTCCTTCCCTTCTTTTCTCACAATACTGCAACATAATAGCACCTTTTGTTCATATACAATTAGACAGATCTAAAATATCAAATTTTTCTCGATAATTTCTTCTCTATTTTTCTTCAGATTAATACTACTTCTACTTTGTCCTGTCGGTAAAAATAGAAAAAAAAAAACAGCGATACTTTCATGAAACACGTAACGCATACCCCGTTGTTTGTACTGTTATAATTTATCTGAAATTAATTCAGTGAACCGCGAGCGATTTCGCAATTGCTTTAAGTTCCTTCCTTGAAATTTTCCCGGAATGCGTATGAGGAAGTTTCGGCAAAAATTTTACTCCGCCGCGTAGTTTGTAGTGGTCCATTAGGTTACTCGCGACCATTTGCATCAATTCTTCCGCGGTAACCTATCGATTGAATCATAAAAATCGTTTCATTCGATATATCTTGTAGAAAATTTAGTTAAAAAATAATCTTCTTTTTAAACGTACGTCTTTATCGTTTACTTTGCTAACGAATGCAATAGGATGTTCGTCATCCGTAGGATGAGGTATACTAACCACTGCCACTTCTAAGACAGCAGGGTGAGATTGCAGGAGATTTTCAAGTCTTTTCAAACGTACGTCTTTATCGTTTACTTTGCTAACGAATGCAATAGGATGTTCGTCATCCGTTGGATGAGGTATACTAACCACTGCCACTTCTAAGACAGCAGGGTGAGATTGCAGGAGATTTTCAATAACATTTGGCGTTATTTGTTGTCCTCTGTATTTAATGATTTCCTTCAATCTGTCCACGATGAATATTTCTCCATTGTCGGTGTAGTAACCTAAATCCCCCAAGTGCAACCATCCTAAAAAAGATTATTTTATTATCCTTATACACATCCTGCCAAATTCCTTCAGGAATACAAGTTCATCCTTCCATGACTGAATTTTTTTTAAGGAATTTGTTTGTCTACTGTAATGGATACTAAATTAAGATTAATTTTTGTTCGAGTACTCAAGTGAGACATATGCGTTCCACTGATCACGAAAAGGGTTAAACAAGATAAACAAGGGTTAAAACAGTTTCACGAGGTTTTACTGCAAAAACAGGAAAAGTTGTACCTTTCTTCTAAATTATTGACTCACCCTGGTACATATAAATTTGTCAAGAATATTTCGAAATTATTGTATTTACCATCCTTGTCCATGATGTTCTTCGTAGCTTCAGGATTCTTGTAATAACCAGTCATCATAGTCGCTGACTTCGCGCAGAGTTCGCCATTTTGGTTCGCACCCAACATCTTCCCAGTTTCGGGATCCACGATTTTTATTTCACAATTTGCGTTCACCACACCGCAGGATCCGCTGCTGGAGTTTGCTAATTGTGAAGAAACTAGTCCGCCAAGCTCGGTCATACCTAAGACGAAAAGTCAATTTTCATATTAAGATATTCAACGCTTCAATTCTTTCACTCATGAAGCATAATTTTCTTTTTTCGTTACGCACAATACTTGATTAATTTTTTATCCTAGACTTCATAGCTCACCGTATGCCTGCAAAATTGTCGTATGTGGCAACTGTTTCCTCAGCAAATCTTGAGATTCTTTATTCAACGAAGCGCCCCCGGTGAAAAGAATCTTTAGACTGGAAAGATTATAGTCGTGCAAACGATTGAAACGAGCAAATCGATTCGACATACTGGTACTCAGCAGCATCCACGTGACCTAGAAAAGAATAATAAAAAAAATGATGAATAACGATCATTGCAGAAGAATGTATGAAACAATTGCGATTCCTTTCAGAGTCGTCTATAAAGTGCATGCACGAAGTAACTCTGAATGAAAATTTATCGTTCGAAACTTTTACGTTTAATCGTCGCTGATAATGTTATTATTAACTTTCTCGGTACATATGGAAGAGCAGTGGCGCTGAACTATTGTGATTAACATAATTCCAACGAGTCTTTCGATACCACTATTCCATATCACTTATCGTTCTGTCAATTTTCAACCATTTTTACAATATTTAAAAAACAATCGTACAACACGCTAATCGTCTCCATTCACTGTGGATCTCTATATTTCCAAAAGTACATCTTTCACAAAGATACTTAAAACAAAACAAATCTTATGTTCCCTGTAACGCGTAATTTCTAACATTGAAGTGATTTTCTCATCGGTAATGTTCTGAAATTTACGAATGTAGGATATTACGATTACAATTGCCAGTTTAAATTTGCAAAAATTTCAAAGTACGAATTTTCAAAGCAGCACGATACACGTTGAGACTCTCGATAAAGTGAATCGAAGAGGAATATGCACCTGAAATTTCTCGACAATTTCGCAGGTTGTCTTCTCGTCGAATTCCGGCGCGAGGATTCTCGTGGAGCGAGAGTAAAGGCTGGTAAGAATAAGCAGCGATGCACTGACCCAGTACAGAGAGCTGAACCACAGAGGTAGATGAGCACTGAGATTAACGCTATCGCGTTTTTGCAACATGTTCAGTAACGCTCTCTGCGGCAGCTGAACACCCTTTGGCAAACCGGTGGTTCCAGAAGAGAACAAGATCAGCGCTGTTTTCGAAGAATCTTCGACTTCGTTGCACGAAAAATGATCCATCGTAGATTAACCTTAATATCTTTCAGATTATCGAGATGTTCCCTAATCGGGTTGAAATCGAACTTGCACCTCTCTTTCGATTCTTCCTTGACGAACAAGAAAATACAAAACTCGTCCGGGCTGAATTCCTGGCCACACGTTAGGTACACGTACAAAATCTCGATCAACGGGATTAGAATGTTCAATTGGAAGACGTTTCTTTTCGACAACTAAAATGAATATTCAGGAATCGCAGAAATTGCAAATTTTCAAATTTGAAAAGCTGTACCTTTTCCTCTGTGCAATCCATTTCTGGAATATCGAGAGCACCTTATTCCTGATTCGACAAATTCCCATCCATTTAAGATTGCAATTTCATCGAACAGTCTTGAAATTTGTTGTTAAAAATAGTATAATATCTCGTCGAACTTCAGAACACTAAGATATTCCAGCGATAGATTCAGAATGTTCGAAAGAATAATTATAAATCGTAGTTGAACCAATTTTCAGGCAAATTGTTGCATCAAAATTACTGCATGCCTCTTGAAAAGAGTGAACATTTTTTTCACAAATAAATCCACGAATTTACGTCTCATCCGATTTCAAAGTTTAACCCTTTCATTGCTATTGGCGCTTTGAAAATTTACTCGCTAACGAAAATTAACTCGTCCACTTCCACTCTAATTCAATCCTTAAAGTCATCATATGCCCACTTCTACCTTAATTTAATAAAAGAAATTTTGAAAATCTGACGCAGCGAAAGGGTTAAGCATACGTAACTAACGTTTGAGATCCATAATATTCGAAGGAAAAACATTAAGCAAAAAACTGTGCGAAAATTAAAAGATTGCTTTCGAAAAGAACTTGACAACTTGAAAAAAAATTTGCCCAGATGAAGAGATATCCACACGCGACCAGTCATCATCATTCAGTAGAGACAGTAAATTTCGAACGATTTTATTAGCCAACGATCCAATCATCAATCGATCAGACAAGCGGTACATGAATAGACAACACGTATTTTCACGCAGATTTATTGACTCCTTCATTCATCAGCCACTAAGAAACGATGGACTAAAATCACCTTTTTTTCTTTTACGCCGCTAAGAGCCTAACAGAAAAGACACCTATCTACACGTACAAGTATAAAGTTATCCCTGAGAGAGAATTTGTACTCCGAGGCAGCATAATTTCATTTACGCACACGACAAGTCGCGTAAACGATTAATACTATTACGGTACAATGCGTCCACGGAAAAAAAAATTGATCCTAGGAAAAAGTTCATCATCGAACATAATATCTGGCGCGAAATAATAATTTCGACCAGCAAACAACACGGTGATTAATTTAATTCAGGAAACTTCATTCGACAATTTTTTTTGTTTGTTTGTTTTTTTATCACTGTGAGATATTACTTTCTACGTTCATAATAAAAAAAAGATTACTACTTTCCTAATATCACTACTTCTACTTATGATAATAGGATGGGTATGTATACATATATATGTATATATTCTCTACTTTTAAGTTCATTCTTTGAAATACTGTTTTTTCTAAGATTTCTCAGCTTCTCTTTCTCGTCGGTGCACAAAAGTTGTACATATGAACAGGCCTATTTGTATTCGAATGAACGCGAGGCATGTTGTTAAGTCTGTTTCCTCGTGGTTTCTGTACAAGAAAAATCGATCTATTTTCTGAGAACAGGTTTTGAAACTGTGATTTTTCGCATTTCCTTTTTAACGTTATTTTTTTTTCTTTTCTCTTCGTTTTCTTGTTTTTTTTTCTTTTTTTTTTTATCACATTTCTCTCGCTGCTACAACTATACATATATAAAAAGTTCGGTATGAAAAATAGGTTCGTCGATCTATAACAATAATACAAATCAAAAGATATTACAATTTCTCGCCGTCTTCTCATCCTCATACTGCTTTATAAATATCGACATCATACTGTGATGGAGAAAATAAATAAAATATACATCGAATCGACGTTACATTAATTACTTACAGATACATCCGTTTTACAGGATCTCCGGTCGCTATGAAAGAAGGAAAAAGAAAAAAAGAAAGAAATTCGATGAACGAAAAGTGTACACGAATAATCCCTGTCGCACGATCTTTCCAATACATGATATTCAACGATTAACAATTTTCAACGATAACAATGACAATGCACGAATACATAATAACGATCGATCGTAATTCACCAATAAACACTGTTAATTATTATCTTAATATTTAATTCAAATATTTCTCTCTGCTGAATTGGACTGTACAAAAAAGTATTTCAAAAAATATAATTATTGTCTCGAAGTGAAACGCTTGGTCAGCCTATCACAACTATGATACAATTCTACCCTCTCGCCCCCTACATATAATATACATAAAATTACAATCGCTATACCGCTTGAAGAAATTCGAGCTTTTTAAAAAAAGGAAAAAGCCACGCAACACTCCGTCGACGAGAAATCACTTGTGCAGAATGCAACCGAAGTAAAGTCTACGTTTCTTTTTTTTTTTTTTTTTTTCATATCACACGATCGTCGAGTATGATTTTATCTGTACATTTTACAATGGATTTACCGATGCTCTTTTCTTTTTCTTTTTTTTCTTTGCGATACCAAAATTTCCAAATTTCAAATTTCTTTTCTTTGTTTTCCAATTCATTCGTACGAGCTATATGTGTGCGTATGTATACGTAAGTGTGCTTACGTATGAGTATCGCGTGTGTAATTGCAATAACAGTCAGTTTACATATTTTTTTATACAGAGGATTCGTAGATCTAACTGAGTAAGTCTAGACATTATCTACGGTATATAAATCTAAGATTTACGTCGCGTTCAGAACACAAACAACTAACAATGTTAATTTACAATATAGGCGATGATATGTTACAGACGACAACTCGATTGCGGTTACCAATTTCACCGGAATTTCTTATCGTTTCGTTCGAAAATCAAAGAAATCCTAGCGAATGTAAAAATCTGTACAAAAATTGATATCTTAAATTCAATATTAGTACAATTTCAACATCAATAAAAGTACAAAATGGCCCAATTCGAATTGGTAACAGCAACAGTTTTGAAAAACACGATTTGTTACCCTGTTCGTGGAACTATAAAATTCTAACGGTTTTATCAATGTAAAGACAGATCACAGATGACGAAAATTCTATTCTGGAAGTCGACGGACGACATGTAAAAGAATTTAATGTACGATCGTTCGAAACAAAAAATACGTGCTAGACTAACGAATAATAATAAGACTATTATCAAGAAGATCTAAATCTAATGAATTTCGAAAGTGTCCCGGCTTTGTCCAAGAAGAGATATAATGTATAATCATTGCCTATATGCTCGCGTAAATGTCATGATCCGTTAGTTCCGCGCGTGTACGTACAATTAAAGATAACGACGATATTATACAACGAGAACTATTTACTAATTATGTGCTAAACGCCCGAATGATCGAGTTCAGGCTCTCGTATGTCCCGGTGACGAATCCTAGAAGGCCGATCAGTACTATCACGATGTCCTTCGATATCGTGCAAAAGCCTAAAGAAGCGTTTTGCCAGCATACAACCATCTCGATGATCGGTGGGAATATCAATGCTAGGGCAGTGCTGCTTACTGCACCGACCAAGGATATGAATAGGCCTAATTGAGGTACAGCCTCGGCTAGGATAACTGGAACAGAAGCAACAATCGTTCGAGAAATTTTCGCGCATTTTGGGAAAATTAGCGGCGACTTTGTCGGAGTTCAAAGAGGACCAGTAAGTAAAATTAACGACGAGCTCTACTCAGAATGTGAAAAGGACTTCTTCTCTTACGGCTTTCAAATTTCTTTCAATTCTACAGAGTCCTTTCTTTTTTTAAATATATTTTTCTACTTTGGAGGAAAATGTAAGGAAATTTGAAATGGAAATATTTTTTAAGCGAACTCTATTCTCTAGATATTCTAGAGATTTTATATAGAAATTTTAAATATTCGTGGATAATAGCCAGAAGTTTGAAGCGCGTTTAATGTTTAATGTTCGAAAGTAAAAGCATTATTTGTATTAGCATTAGCACTATTTATATTAAGCATTAATTTGATGAAATTCCTTTGTTTCTTAGATTCTGTTTATTTATAACTGAGAACTTCGTCTCTATAGAAAGATGTTAATTTTAAAGGTGAAACTTACATGTCAGAAGACACATCGCGGAACGGAAAACAGTCTCTGCAAGAACAGGCCACTTGAACGGGCCAAATCGGTTGACGATCTTCGGCCAAATGATCGCAATCGGAACGTAAAATTGCAGTGCGTAGGTGAGTAATATACTCAACGAAATGGCAACTTGTATGCACTGCGGTAAGCTGTAAAACAGAGTAACATCTTGTGAATATCTGAAAATATTATTCACCATTCTCCACTGTTAAAAGCAAAGAAACTTGTTCACCGATCTAAAAAAAAAAAAGTATCGAAAACTATCCGATAATATGTTAAAAATATAACCCAAACATGCAAATTTAGACGTACACGAAGTGAAATCAGGAAATCTGTAATAGTTATTATTAATATGTGCTATTTGATAAGAAAGAACACGACGGCACAATATTGTAAAAACGAAAAAAAGGATAGAAAAGACAATTGTCCAGTAGTTTTGTCAGAGAAAAAGAACACAACACTTTCTAGGTAAAAACCTATGTATGATAGAAACCTTGTATGCTCGACGATGATTTTTCCATCCACCCTTTGTATGCAACAGAAAATTACGTTACAAACAGTATTTTCTTAACTACGTTTTTTTTTTATTTTCAGCTCGCTATTTTTTTTTCGCAATCATTTCGTAGCGATATTGAATTTTCGATTATTTCTTAACGCAGCGCGATTTATCACCTGGATGCATAATACAGTATATTCTCCACAAGGGTCAGACCGCAAGGAAGCTAAACCTGACACTAGTAGAGTCAGGGACTACGTTTTCGAGCCTCGAGCCCGCCTTTGTAGTTTGCCGAACGTAGCCAAGGACAGCGAATAAAAGATAAGCATGAAACGTGAGTCGAGGCAACCAAGAGATTTAAATATCAACTTTTTTAATTTTATGTTTTTTTATCCCGAAATATTTCTTAACATATTGATGAGATTTTTCTGATGAAAATGACATAAAACACGATATAATTTGAACAACATTTACTTATTAACACGTTCACTGTCACGCCAGATATTCGCGCCAGATTTACAGGTTGCTGTCAGGTGGCCACAAGAAAATACATTTTAAACATAGTATATATAGTATTATGCTTTATAATTTTTTTTTTTTCAATTGAAAATAATGTCTAGCTAGCTATGACGTTCAAAATTTTTAGTTGACAACATTTATTTTATTTTAATTATTCTAAGCATTTGAGCCACTCCAGTCACTGATGACCACCATAGCCATATCGAGGAAACAATCTAATGTTAATACTTATTGAGTGATTAATTTAATTTCATAATATATCGCTTTGAATGAATTACCAAAACAAATTGCTAAGAAATTACATTAAATAACTGTACACATTATCCGTCGAATGTAGAGGGAGAGCCACCGTTTGGTTGCCAATTGTTCATCACATAGAGTCGGCCTACCTCCACGTAAAAAAAAAAAAAAATGTAGGCTCGATTCCACAAGTGTCAGTAAAATGTAGGGTCGATTCGACAAGTGTCAGTAAAATGTAGGGTCGAAAGCAGCAGAAAAGCTGCTAAACAATTAGAATTAAATATAAGGATAGAAATTATTGCAATAATGCGTAATGCAATTGAAAAATTGAAAGAATCAAAAGAAAAAACGCGAATTCGTATCTTTTTCGATTCTAGAATATAAGAAAATTTGAATAAAATACGCGACGAGAATTGGGGAGAAGCATAAGTTAAACGCGTAAAAATATTCAATAATAAACGAACTAGGGATGAAGCTATTATTTCAATACGCGATGCACTGACTCTAGTATTTACTAAAATTCAAAAATTCTCGTATAAATCCCGAAAATAGATTCTTAATTACGGTAAACTACTGAGACGGTTTAATTAAGGGTGGGCATGGTGCTGCTTTAGTTTGAAATGATTTATAAACACATAATTAACAGAGGAAAAACCGTGAAACGGCAAAACGTCTACATTCTAATTGTTATAACATGTAAACAGAACTTTAAATTTAGTGTAAACAGAAAAAATATATAATACAATTTATTTCACGGTATTGCAACAAATAAACGTTGAATCAATATTTAATTCGTATAAAAACAATTATTTAACGTAATAATTTTACCTTCACTATGGCTATTTTTAATCTACGACCACAGGTCAACCTGATTTCTAATCCTTACGAACTTTAAATTCAGTCTAAACTGAGAAAATATATAATACAATTTATTTCACGGTATTGCAACAAACAAACGTTGAATAGATTCTTAATTCGTATAGAAACATTTATTTAAAATAATAATTTCACCTTCACTATGGCTATTTTAAATTTACGACCAAGGGTCAACCTGATTTTTAATCCTCCGAACTTGATTTCACAACGAGAAAGTAATAAGATCGTTGAAACGTACTTATTTGTCAAAGAAACTTGCAAAAATGTATAAATAATAATATGTAATGTTTTAACAAATTTTTGGAAGTATAAATTAATAATAAAATTGTGAAAATTAATAAATTATACGTTATTATAACATTAATAGAATTATGACTAAACCGAAGTTCGAAGTCGAGTATTTAAAGTCTGATATTACGTGCCTAGCGAGTGCCGGTAATTGTTAAAATTTGTTTAATAATTAGTAATAGAAATTCTAATTGATTCTAATGTATACAAGTGTTACAAGAAGGCTGAGTGTGTACAGGGTGGACATAGACTAGCTAGTAGCCCCCGACCACTCTATTCACATCTCAGAACCTTCAGGTCAAAATACGCCGCGAAGTGTCTAGGGCCCAGTATAAAGGGTAAATGATTTCGCGGGACATCGGCGGGTCCTTATATACCTGCGGTACCCTCTCCCCAAAGTCATTAGCAAAATCGTCGGTTAGGTCAGGCGGGAAATTTTCGCGGGAGATTTTCGCGGGAGATTTCCGATATCGTAACACGGTATAATTTATCAATTTTCACAATTTTATTAAAAATTTATACTTCCGACAATTTGTTATAACATTGCATATAACAATTTATACGTTTTTACAATATTCTTCAATGGAAACATAGGTTTTAGCGTTCTCGTTACTTACTCGTGGTTAAATTAATTTCGTAGGGATTAAAAATCAGGTTGACCTGTGGTCGTAGATTAAAAATAACCATAGTACAGCTAAATTTATCGTGTTAAATAATTCTTCTTACACGAATGAAAAATGTATTCAACGTTTGCTTGTTACAATACCATGAAATAAAT